AAAAGGTGTTTATTCCACCATCACAGATTTTTTTTTTTTGTTTGCCTGACCTTCTACTAGATTGAGTAAGTCAAATTAAATGTAAAATGTCTTTGCACCCGTTGTGTCTTCCAATATAAAAAAAAAGTCTGATTTTCTTTGCAATTTATATTTGTTTCACATCCCCGTTTCAGAAATGACCAGTATTCTCATCAGTAACAGGAAGTGAAAATGATGCGTTGGCGGAACAAACTGACCTCGCAGCTGCCAGAGTCTCTGCCACACAATCATCATTGTTCTGGGTGACACGGACTGCCTGCTCCACCTTCTCCAGCATCTCAGGCTTTCCTGCATAAAAAGCCACTACAGGAGCCAGTTTGGTTATTCCATCAATCTGACAGTCGTTCTCACATCCTATGGAAAAAAAAGACACGTCATTTAGAGCTGTTTCTCTCAATAATGTCTTGGTATTTGTAATGAAAATACTGCATATTCACCTGTTTCTTCTTTGCCTGCATCCACATTTTTCAGGAAGCCCTTCAAACTCCCTTGTCTCCACGGTCCCTCGATGGGCAGCTGCGGTCTCGGGCCTGGTAGGACAAACACAACGTTATCAGTATTTCCATCTTACTGAGTCAAAGAATTTAATGATTTTTCCACAACAACATGAAATACTTCTCCGCTTCTACTAGATGGTTTTCCTACCTGCTCTGTCTCTGTAAGGGTCGTTGACAGGCGTGTCGTACTCTGATCCTGGCCCAAAGAATTTTAGAGTGCGCTGCTTCAGATCTTCAACATTTAGACCTGGTGGTAAAGGTTACACAGCTTAGACCATGATGTAAAAAGTTTGAAATTATCATGAGGCAGTCTATTGTGTCGTTAAGATGAAGAAGTAAGGCCTACCTCCACATTCAGACAAGGACTCCAGCAGGACAAAGGCCTGGTCCCCGTAGCAGCTCTGCTGGCCCGTCTGCCTCCTGTAGAAAGGGTTGGCCGACTCAGAGCGGAACTCAGGGTTTGGCTCCTGATCCAGGATCCCCTGCAGCTTCTGCAGGTCGTACACCCAGTGGAGGGGCTGCGCTGTGAGGGAAGAGACTACAGGTCAATATCATTCTGATCCGAAACTCCTTTTTTATAAGAACAAAAAAGGTGCTTAGTGAAAAGACTCAGATGATAGAGAAAATAAACATCAGCAAACAACTTTGGGCTGAAAAAAGAAACCTAAAGAGTATTCAAACTAGTGGTATGTCAAGGAAACTAATTGTAAATTAAGACTTTGTACTGAATACTTAACGGACAATAAAACATTACAGTATGATAGACTTTAACCGTTATTACCTGCTGCATCTGCAACGGCTGATCCTACGATGGCTCCCATCGCTCTGTTGGCCAGAGCTGATGCCATCTGTAAAACAATTCATCGTTATTATTCTAATTAAGGCTTAATTTTGTCTGTAAATTAAATCAACAGAAACATACTGGTGAACATTTTCCTTTTAAAATAATAGTTAAGGTGACATATAAAGCATTTGTTCTAGCTTCTGTAATGTGTTGCCTTAGCTACTTATATCTGGTTAATATAAACTGAATATCTTTGGGGTTATGGACTGAAAAATAAATTTGCATATCTCACAATGAGCTCAAGGATATTGAGCCACTTTTAATTTTGTGAGACAGTATAAAAGACCTAAATATCATCGATTTTCCAAACAATAACCAATAGACTTGTCAAGAGTTATATTTTGTGTTAGTTCCAGCCATATACTGTCTATATAAAGCCCTGTTGGTAATGTTTACACAGTATGTCTCACATGGCAGCTCGAGTTCATCTGCAATCTACTAGTTTCCCTGAATGTGTATCTGTAAAGATTGGATGCTAAAGCTAGCGATACTTGTTTAATAGAGAGATATACATGGTGTTAAGTAAACATAAACATGACTTGAATGAAGCATTGTTTATCCCTCTATTATGTCCAAGTTTAACAGTGGCCTAGCCAGTGGCCTAGCCAGAGTTAGCAGAGATAGCAATAACTTCAGACGCTGCAGACTGCAAGCTAACGTTAGCTAGTCTTTGGCCAAACTAGGCTGACATTGTGAAGTCTTACCTTTCAATCCGTTTAAAGTAACCTTATACAGACTGATAGCCAGGGCACACTGCAGTGTGTTTCAACCTTCCGTTAAATGACTTCTATCAGTGGGCTGTTCCTACAACATGTTATGAAACGTTCTCTTAAGCACCGCCCCCCTATGGTCACCCTTTGACCTGCTTTGTCTCAAGTTTATGGACATTGTCAAAACTGTTAAACATAAATGGCTAGAACTGTTACAAATAAATGCATGTATCATGTCAATTACACTGTAGCATGCATGTGCTTAAGAAAAATGGTGATTTTCACAAGCTGCATATATAAAATAGAGCCAAACACTGACAATTTCACAGGAAAACGTTCTACTGAAAGCTGACCAGTGTCAAACCTCAGTATTCAATGTTCAATAGTTTATTAAACTTTATCAACAAGTCCAGCATGTAGGTTAAAGTAGCAGGGTAACCGTTTGTATTTTAAATAGCATCATCTACTGACCAGTAGAGGTAATGCTGCAGACATGACTTAAAGGTGGGGTATGTCATTTATTTCAGAAACACTTTTTGTTATATTCCATGGAATGCTCTTAACATCCCGATAGCAATGAATATATTAAATGCTTTGACAATAAATACATGAACATTTTTAATCTGTGGAAGCCGTTGCGCTGTAAAAAGCACGGCCAATCATTTTAGCCGGCCCGGCTAAAATAACTGGATGGCCTACCTGCCTGTCAGCCTTCCATCTGTGCACAAACTTATCTCGTGCCCTCATTGGTCATGTGCGCGTTCGTGTGTGTTGGAGGAGGGGCTCTGTCAGGAAGTGGCAGATTTTTTTCCAGTTGTGTATTTTCAAATTCTAGCGCACTCGAGCTGGTTTCTCCAAAATGACATACCCCACCTTTAACCAAAATGAAATTATGTGTTATGGTCAAGCCATCACAGTCTCCAGCTGTATGACACATTTGTGTGTAAATTCATGATAGCAAACACATTCAGATTATTTTATAGGACAATATTGACCTCTAAAGAATTGTTTTGATTTTTGAGGAACACATTTATTACATTACATTTGAACTTAAAGGGGCCGTATAACGCACATTTTCAGGTTTTATTTTGTGCTTCTACTCTATCATGTTTATATGCTTTAATGTTGAAAGGGGTCTTTAGTTTTCATACTGCCTGTGCTGCAGCACCTTCAGTCTAGTCGGCTCTGATTGGTTACCTAGCCGGCTCTGTTGTGATTGGACAACTGCTTAGAGATGTCCTGTCCCCAAGCCTATCAGGTACAATTTTGTTGGAGCGCTAGCCAATAGAAGCGTGAGTGGTAAGATGAGATGTCACTATGTCGCAGAAGAAAACAAATGATTACAATGGAGGCGTTTCAGGCAGTGTGTGAGGGAGAGAAACTCCCTCTGGAGGGAACTTTGGTATTTGAGCTTTTGCAGACCGTTTACATGCACACAAACCTATAACACAGTACAGGAAAGGGAAAACCCAAAAAAAAAAGAATAGGGCCTCTTTAAAAAGGCATTCTTTGGGAGCTCTAAAAGTCCACAAGACACCATATGGGGGTTCTTCTATTGTCCTTTGGCTGTACTGCTGCTAAAATGTATGACATCACAATGGGGTTTGTCTAATTGCCAAAGACTATCGTTGTAAACATGTCAATAAATAATACTATTCACTCAGAATGAAGTCTCTCCTGTTTGAACTGTAAAGTCTGTGCATTGTGCTTTTATGAAGTCGAGTAGGTAGGGCATTTTGCCAATCTGTGCTCAGGGGCCCATTGTTCCATCATTTGCCTAACGAAAGGCCTTTACATACAGTATGTAATGGTTATGGAAGCTTTTATGGAAGATTCAATGTGACTGCATGAAAGGAACTCCCTCCTCTACTTTAAGCCTCTATCACACACCATTTTATTATTTGTTGACAGTGCCACAGGGAGCCTCAGTGGTCATTGACACCACACGTAAATGCATACCATCCCCTCTAACATGACTGCCCCGCACATACAGTCAGTGCATCAACAACTCCCTTAAATCTTTCTGCTTTAATACTACATGGGCCGCATGTCCTGCTACAGAAAGAGGGGTGTGGCGTTCAGGCTATGTGTGTGTTTTTGAGGGTCTGAAGGAGGATGACGATACCATGTGGCCTGTATTTATTTATAGCTTACCTCCTCCCTTTCAATCTGTAAAGTAATATCACATCATCATGCGTGCTGTACACATTGGACAGGACTTAGCATACTGTATGTACAGAGGGATCAGACTAAAAAAGATACAGAATATTGCCACATGGCCCCCACGTTAAAACTCTATGTTTCACTTTCTTCTTGAGTCAGGGCTAAGTGACACCTATGCACTGAATCCTCAGCAGGTGCACCACCCTCTCCTGTCTCCATGTCCCGGGGTGACCCAGCAACACATTCTAGCGCTGCGTCAGTGCCAGCAGCAGCAAATTAGAAACCAACACCCACTCCTGATATGTACTTCTCTGTCCTACATCCATTATTTTTAGCTGGGATTCAAGCCTCCATCTAGACTTAATATGGGAAAAGAGTGCCTCATATTTGCAGCCACCTCTGAACCCAATCAGGTCACGGTTTCTTCAGTTGGCGCTGAGCAGAAAAGCAAACACGTCCCACTTTTTCTCTTTACATCTTGCTTTTGCACCATCTCCCTCCACCTGCACCTTCTTCTGTTCTCATGGTAAGAGAGCAGGTTGGTCCTCATCTCCTGACTCCACCCACTTATACAGGTCTGCAACACACACACTCAAGTGCACACAAAGCACTGTCACCCCAGAAACCACAGTGTCCAACCCCCCCCCCCCCCCCCCATGTCCTGATTACACCCCACATAGACTATACCTATGTCAACCTAAGCCCAACCCTCTTGCACCCTGCGCCCCACTGCCAGTTGCCCATGTGCGGTTTTTAATAAGGTGGATGCAAAAGTTGGTCTTGCTCTCTTCTGGGTGACGTGGATTGGAAGGGGTTCTTCATACTTACACCAAAGTGTTTAGTTTTTATCCCCAATTTTTTCTTGCTGAAACTGTAAGTACATCTTCAATATCTTAGAGAGGAGCCATGAAGTGGACCTGGGTGCTTGTGGCAGTCTTGCTGTCCATCGGGACGCTATCACTGGCCAAGGACAGCTTGGACTTCCCTGATTACGATGGCAAGGACCGCGTCCACGACCTCAACGCCAAGAACTATAAGTCTGTGATGAAGAAGTACGATGTCATGGTGGTGTACTACCATGACCATCCCGGATCCAGCCGCGTCGCCCAGAGACAGTTTGACATTGAGGAGTTGACCCTTGAGGTGGGTTGGGATGGGAACTATGGGTGGGGTACTGATGAGAAAGCTGTATGCTGGATTCATAATGCAAAGCACAAAGAAACATTACACAATCTTGCTATTAAAAGTTGAAGTCTCAAGTAGATTTTGTTTTTTGATAGAGTTTATTTAGTTAGGTTGCACAGAATTTGAAGCATTATTAGATGCAAATGGGTTACTAGATTCTTAGCGAAAAAGGGTAAGGGTGTACATTTGTGGTTACAGTTAGGGTTAAGAATATATGGTAACAGATACATGTATTTTTTGCAAGATTTCAAATGTGTTAAAAGTAGAATTTAACTCAGGGTCCAGGTGATGCTAAAAGGTGGAACAAATATTTGCTGAATCAGAAATGCTGAAAGATTAAGTCTCAAAAATGTGTCACTAGCTTGTGTTCATTATGTGTGTGTGTGTTTGTGTGATAGAGTTGATGGACCTTATGCACCCTCTGTCAGTACATCTCAGGCCTCCTGTCAGGCTGGATGCTCAGCAGTTTGTTCACATACCTCACAGAGACATTACATCATCATCCAGCAAGCCTTTAGTATCAGCTCACGAACGCATCAAACCTCAACTGACCCGGCTCGATTCTCGGGTTACTTGAAAAAAAACTGAATATCAAATGTCACACACTCATACACAGCATTTTCCCAGGAAAAGTTATATTTTCATTTCTTGTCATCTCTTGTCGAAATTAAAGTTTGCTTTTAAATCATATATGCACTGGATCATGTGACAACAACATTTTAAGGGATTTGGCATAGTCACTTCACAGTGTTCAGTAAAATACGCAACCTTATATGCTTGATGCATTGTCGGGGAGCTGCAAGTATTGCTGGGGGGCTTCTTTTAGAATTGACATTGGTTACAAAAAAGTATTGGCAATTACAACCAAATTCAAATTCAGATTTGGACATAGGATATGTAACCAACACTCAACACACCCTAAACAATGCAAACCAATACATAAAATTGGAGGGATAATACTATACATTTAGAAAGATAACATTAATACACATCACATCATCTCACCAGCCTCTGCTGTCTCTGTATGGGAGTGTTGGGGCTTGGTCTCAGGGCTGGAGGCCAGCTCTGGAGGTTCTGGCATCAGTAGTGCCGGCTCAGCTCCCCGCTGTGATTGACACTCTGGCAGTACTGTACTTGTCAGCGGATCCCGGGGCGCTGAGCATCACCGCCACCTCGCCAAAATAGTCCCTGGGCTGGTGTTGCTTCTGGCGCTATATTTATCCCGAGATGTTTTGTGGCGGGTCGAGCTCCCTGAAGGCTTGTGTTTCTCCTTATGAATGTATTATGATTTAAATTTGATGGGGATTTATTATTAGTAAGAGGCGGCAGCAAAGGACTCAACATTTCAGAGGTCAGGGCCAAACTGTTTTGGGAAAGGTATATGGAATATGACATGATAGGAATGAGGAGGTCGTAATTACGGGTTTTATTTACTTTAGGCAAAGACAAAATTGATCGTTGAGGTCGCCCAACATTCTGACTGGGGTCTCTGTGTGAATTTCCAAATGTTTTCCATTTTTCAATTTATATTAGAGGGCCTGTATTCTCCAGAAAATTTAAATATTTAAAAATGAAAATTGTACAGCTGTTGTGCGTTTTGCATTTTGGGTAGTTGAAAAACATGAGGATCCAGTTCTAAAATCCCATCCCAGATATTGAGATTGTTGGTAACTTTACATGTAGTTAGTTAGGTTCAGTTACTGTGAAGAAATGATCTCAGCCACATAACGGTGGATACACCAAGGTCTAAAGGCAACCTTACATGTTTTATATTTAGATGACTTGTAGATATAAGGCTATGAAATCCTTTTCAAATTGGATCTACGACAACAACCGGATAATTAAAATCAAATAATTCGGATTTAATAGTAAAATCAAGATAAACAACCTTGAATGTCTTAATGCAACTACACATAATAATCTGTACAAAAAATAAAAACATTGCAAATGATCATTGCTTTTCCACACTGTCTAATCAAATTATTTCTACACAAGTATCTGTATCACAAGTACAATGTATAATTTGTATACTGTAACTCACCTCCGCAACTACCAATCAAATTATGTGTGTTTGAGAGTTTGAGACAACCCTCAAACAACTTCCTCAATGTAGTAATGCTGTGAATGCTGCACTGCCATTGGTGGAACAAACTGTCAGTCATGAGGGTTCAAGTTTCATACAGATTTAGAAAGTGCATAAGCAGCGCTCTGAAAAGCAGGCTTTTATGGTAATGAAAATATTGAGTGAGACAACTTTGTTAAAAAGGTATAATTGTGCATGATATATGGACACTATTGCAGGCTTGTGTTCTATGTTTTATAGACTTATAGATACTTCACTGACAATTCATGTCCGATGTTATATGACGGTTTCTTTGTTTTACAGCTTGCAGCCCAGGTCCTGGATGAGTTTGATGATGAGGATATCGGAGTCGGACTCATTGATGCAAAGCTTGACAAAGTCGTTGCAAAGAAATTAGGTAAACATGCAAAAAAACTCAACACAGCTGCAAGCTTGTAACTTTACACTGTGTATAATGAGACCAGTCAGTGTCAGAATCTCAGCTCATCTCCAATGACTGATAATGTATTGATCTAAGTATTATATGGCCTGCTTAACCTTAGTGTTTACTGTTTTTACGGAAGATACATATAAAAAAAACGATATAGGAATGCGCCATTTGTGACCTTTGCTCCAGTCTGGGCTTCTTCTCTTCTCTCCAGATCTCGATGAGTCGGACAGTGTCTACATCTTCACCGACGATGAAGTCATAGAATACGATGGCGAGTTTGCAGCAGACACTCTTGTGGAGTTCATCTTTGATGTTCGTGAGGATATAATCTCCCAGTTAATAGCCTGCATTGTTTTAGAAAAGTCTCTTAAACCAAGTCACCTTCAACTCCATTGTCCCCTCTTTTCTCCTCCATGACTCTTAATAGGTTCTTGAGGACCCAGTGGAAATTATTGACAACAGTAGGGAACTGAAAGGCTTTGAAAACATCGAAGAGGACATCAAACTGGTGGGCTACTTTAAGAGTCACAAGTCAGAACGTAAGAATCTGTACTGTGATGAACTGATAACCTGTGTTTCATTTCTTTTATTACAGTTGCTTTTCAGCAAAATGTCTCATGATTTCATATCAAGCAAGTGCAACAGAGACCAGGCTCAGGTTGCTTGATTTAACTTTGAGCTGCAGACCTGTTTTGATTTTTAAGGTGATTTTCATGTGTGCACACTAGAAGCTACATTAATGATGAGGGCAACAAGTCGATATTGATAGATGTTTCATACAGGAACCGATCTACTGAAACAACTTGATGGATGCCTATAACATTTCAGATTTCCTGGCTTTTGCCGATGCTGCTGAAGAGTTCCATCCTCACATCAAGTTCTTTGCCACATTCAGCCCTAAGGTGAGTAAAAAGTGTAATTAGACACACTTAAAATACCATAATAAGACTGGGTGGAATATGAACGAGTGTTAATTGATTTATCTTATTTTCTATAATGAGCTGATGATTAACGTTGGCTCTATGTTATTTGGTGCTGTTAAAGTTTTATAACGTTTTTTTCTTAAAACAGTTGTCTGCAGCAGCCAAAATCAGAGTCTGTTGGTCATAGAACCAAATCAATACTTAAAACACTTAAAATGTTCCTCTCTGGATTAGTCACTAGAATAAACTTATTTTAATTGAAACACTGTTTTTATTTTAAAGCAATGGGCCAAACATTGAGCCTTGTGGCACTCCATAAGGAAGTTGGCGTTTATATGGCATTTGAGCATTGATAAACAAAATTTGAATTTATAATACAAAATAAACTGTTTACTGATTTTGTGAACGAAAGTTTTCAGTTATAACCCATTAAAGGTAAAATGCTCTTATATGCCCAATCAGAATTGATGGTAAATGTAGTTGATGGAAAAATATCAAAGTTCCTTGATGCAGAGTTTACAGTTGTTATATCTAGAAACGACTTCTTCTTGGACTTCTAGGCTGTAGGCTTTTGCATAGATGGTAACTTTGATTCACAAAACCTTGTGAAAATTATTGCAAGACTTGCTGCCAGACGACATTTCCTAACCTCAGCAATTTCAGGTTCTTGCAAAGTTAGGGAACCATCTAGAGATGGTTATCAACTATGAAAGGTGTCACATTTTACCTTACACTTCTGCATGGCACGGCAACACGTGCTTGAATGACCATTGCCTGCCGAGGCAAATAATTGCCTAATTGACCAAAGTTGAACTCCACATAGAACAAAGATGCAAATTGCATAGAATGAACGCAAACAGGTGGTGAATGTCATTTCATACACGTGTTGCCATGCCCTCATGGTTCCCAGGTCCTTTATGCTCAGTTGTTGGTTATAATCATCTGATTGTGTTATAGGTTGCCAAGGCTCTGGAAATGAAGCTGAATGAGGTAGACTTCTATGAACCCTTCATTGATGATCCAATAGTCATCCCAGGAAAACCTTACACTGAGGAAGAGCTGGTCGATTTCATTGAGGATAACGACCGGTAAATCCAATTAATGCAATGCCCTAAACTGTACATATTATTTATAAATATAAAAAAAGCCTAATAAAATATCCTTGTGCCTTTCAAGACCAACCTTAAGGAAGCTGCAGCCACACAACATGTACGAGATCTGGGTAAGAACTGTTTTTGTCAAACTATTCTTCTATGAAGACGCTTTGATGAGATTCAACCTCCAGAACCGTTTCTAAAATTATTTGGATAGTTCTCCTCAGTTGATTCAGTTTGTCTTTGTTCTTTTCCACAGGACGACGATGTTGAGGGTGAACATATCATTGCCTTTGCAGAGGAGTCTGACCCAGGTACAGGACCCTGAATGAGTTACATGGGGCAGCAAAGGGGTTGGAGAAGTTTTTTAATTTGTATGGTTTGATGTTTAAGCCAAAATAAACTAGACTGCCATTGTTCTGTATAGTGCCTGCTGGAGAATGAAGGCCAAGTAATACAATGATCTGATAATACATCCTTCCATGGTTTGTCCACCATGTTGATTCACCACTATGATAGTTTAATTTGTAGTTTCACTGTTGTTCTCTCCACTCCTCAGACGGTTTTGAGTTCCTTGAGATCCTGAAGGAAGTTGCAGAGGATAACACAGACAACCCTGACCTTAGCATTGTCTGGATTGACCCTGATGACTTCCCCCTGGTAAGAATATAAAACCCTGCAATTATGCAAAACTGGAAATCAGAGGAACTACTTTGTGTACTCCCTGACTCACAGTTAACTGAAATGTAATGACTAAGCATACTTAAAGATACCTGTCCTTGCAGCTTCTGCCACACTGGGAGAAGACTTTTGGAATAGACCTGTCCCACCCACAGATTGGTGTTGTCGATGCTGATGATGTGAGTGATATTTTTGGTACTTTAGTCATAGATCTGTGTTTTGCCACTCTTATAGATCCTTAATTATAATATTAATATTATAATATATTTTGAGACGCTTTTAAAGTCAGTTTCTTGAAGTCAAAAACTCTGCATGGTTGCTTGAAGACTTTCGCCTCTTCACAGAAGTCACACCTGAGTGATTTTTGTGTATGTTTTTCACCCTGAAGGCTGACAGCGTATGGATGGACATGGATGATGGGGATGATTTGCCATCTGTAGATGAGCTGGAAGACTGGATTGAGGATGCTCTGTCAGGTGAAATCGATCCTGATGATGATGACGATGATGATGACGATGACGATGACGACGACGATGACGACGACGATGACGACGATGACGACGATGACGACGATGACGACGACGACGATGACGACGATGATGACGATGACGACGACGAAGATGATGACGATGATGATGATGACGATGATGATGATGATGATGATGATGATGATGATGATGACGACGACGACGACGATGATGATGACGACGATGACGACGATGACGACGACGATGATGACGACGACGACGATGATGATGATGATGACGATGATGACGACGATGATGATGACGACGACGACGACGATGATGATGATGATGATGATGACGACGACGATGATGATGATGATGATTATTAAATCATTAAGTCTTAAGTCTGACCAATACAGTATCAAGAGTCAACATCATAGCTGCCATACTCTATCAAATCATCTTCTTTTGTAACTAGTTCTTGTGTTGAACTCGGCAGTCACTATTAATATCTCATCTTTTCATCGTCCTCTCTGCATCTCACCAGAACAATATTCCACTAATCGTTTATCCCACTTCCCTACATGTTGAGTAATCTTCTATGTAACAAAGTTATTTCTAAGTAAGATCCCACACTACTTTTATTTTTAAATGTAACACTATCCAGTACAATAAAAGAAGAAATTCTTTCCAAACCATGCCATCTATTGCTATTGATTTTTGTATTATTAAAGTTTTTATTTTACAAAGTACTGGAAGGGTTGCAATGTTGTATGCATTATGTCTTAGTCTACATATGGAGTCTGTTGCAGTCTGAATGTGTTTTATCTGTTCCCTTAGTTTCTTGTTTGCTGCAGTATCGAAACAACTGAAGTCAGACCCATGGGTGCTAGCAGGCTTTTCTGATTTTTTTTTAAGTTTTAAGAACCACCAGCCTACTCTGTGAAATCAATGTAACGCTGTACACTGAAAGTGCTGTACATCATATGGATGTTTTCTACGATGATGATTATGAAAACAGCCATTTTCTATTTTTGTACCAAGAGGAATTTAACTTACTGTAAAGTCTTAAATAAATGACAACTTGGACAGAAATAACATTACTGTGATTTGTTTTAAAGGTGTGTGAGTGTGTGTGAATTTTAAATATTGATATATCTTAACAACTATACATACAGTATAGGGGAGAGTGGGGTAAGATGAGCCAGTGGGTAAGTTGACCCTCCCGCATTATGGGAACTGTGCACATTTGTTGTCATGTGACCATGAATTCAGGAAGCACACATCATTTTTATTTGGCTGTGATGGAGAGAAGCACATGGTTAAGTGGTAAATATGTTTTTTTTTACAATAAACCATGTTTTGCTTGTCAAAGTGAATGTTCAACATGTCGGTTATAATTACTGTTTTGTCAAAGCGAATGTATCCAGGCCTCAAAATATGTATCATACATGTTGGGTTGGTTAGTTAGCAAGGTGTAAAACCATGTGAATCATTTAGCTAAAGATTAACATTAATGACTAAACTAGACAGTTTTGATTCCCAAAATTGGCTGTGGGGCCAAGTGACGGTACGCATTTCAGATTGTTGCCGCGCATGCGTACCTGCATACCAGTTATGTGCACCCCTGTCTATTTGTATATAACATTACAAGACTGATTCTTATTATTACATTATATGCTAAATTGTGCTAATGAGGTTGCTATGACTGTAAAATAAGAGTCATAGAAGAAAGTTTTAGCTGGCATTAGAAATGTTGCAAAAGCCAGGTGCACACTGTATGAGACAAAGAGTTATTGAGATAAGGAGATCGCTCTGACCTTGGCCGTGTGTGTGTGCTCAACGCCCCCGCATAACTGGGAACCAGTATAATGAAGGTTTTCCACTATATCTGTAGAAGCTTTAGCTAAATCAAATGACTAGGATAGCGACAGAGTAGGGAGGGACTTCGCCGGCTGGCCGAATGCTGATTGGAAGATCGTGTTGCCAAGAGACTTTTGTCTAAGTCTGTGCACCAACGCAACGAGAGAGCCAAAGTCTAAACCAAGGTTACTTTCCATCTAGTCTTAACCAATCATAAATGTATGGGCAAAGCCCTGTGTAATAAAATGTATTGACCCACGAGGTTTGGGGCTCTTTACGGAAATGGTGGTTACAGATAACAGCTTTGTTGCCGGTGATTTCTATGACGTGGCGAGTCCTTGGACAAGTGAATATATATCTTTTGCTCTCTTTTAATAAATAGTTGAACTTAGAAGTTGTTTGTCTTTCCTGGAATTAAAGAACAGGACACTAGCCAACATCTATCCTGCCGTATGCCTGGCAGGAGTTCTTTGACAATCTGGCTAAAGTGATAGACAGATTTCCCCCCAGATGGCTCAATTAACTTGACGTGGATCAACTTACCCCTAATATGGCGTAAGCCACAAGACAACTTTTCTTTGAGAAGTCATATTTTCAAGGCCCTTTGTGGTGCATTATTTTAATTGTGATTGACAGAAGACATCATGAAGTAACAGTTTTTTTTTTCATTTGACTACTATCTCATTTTTCCTTGCCTAGAGGAAAACATAAGTAAATATTTGCTCATCTTACTCCACTCTCCCCTATACACTACCAGTCAAAAGTTTGGACACACAAACGTTTTTTATTTTTTATTTAATTTATTTGTTCTACTTTGTAGATTAATACTGAAGACATCAAAACTATGAAAGAACACATATGGAATTATCTAGTTAACAAAAAAGTGTTAAAAAAATAAAATTACAGTGGTAGGAGACCCAACATTCATGTGAAATCATTTGATTCAAACTCCCTTTATGGTAATATTCTACATTACATTACATTTCATTTAGCTGACGCTTTTATCCAAAGCGACTTAAGTGCATTCGACCAAGAAGATACAAACTTGAAGAAAACAGAATCATATAAGTACATTAGGTTTCATAGAGCCAAACCATTTTAAGTGCTACTCAACTGGCTTTAGATAAGCCAGTCCTTTGTTAGTATATAAGTGCTTTGTTAGTATTTAAGTGCTTAGTTAGTATATAAGTGCTTTTTGTTTTGCTTTTTTGTTTTTTGTTTTTCATTTTACTGCTCGAAGAGGAGTCGAAAGAGATGAGTTTTCAGTCTGCGCCGGAAGATGTGTAAGCTTTCTGCTGTCCTGATGTCAATAGGCGCTTTCACACCGCAGTACTTTTCCCACAAAGGTTCATCAGAACTTAGTTCATGAGAACTCTTTAGTTCTCATGAACTAAGTACAGATCGCGTTCACACCGGAATAAGTCCCTGGGGGAGGATTAGTGAGGGTGCAGCAAACCGTTTGGCTGATGCAGAGCGGAGTGCACGTGCTGGGGTATATGGTTTAACCATGTCCTGGATGTAGGAAGGGCCAGAACCATTCACAGCATGGTACGCAAGTACCAGTGTCTTGAAGTGGATTCTAGCAGTTACTGGAAGCCAGTGAAGGGAGCGGAGGAGTGGTGTGGTGTGGGAGAATTTAGGAAGGTTGAAGACCAGACGAGCTGCTGCATTCTGGATGAGTTGCAGAGGTCCGATGGCACATGCAGGTAGACCAGCCAGGAGGGAGTTGCAGTAGTCTAGGCGTGAGATGACGAGAGCCTGGACCAGAAGCTGCGTAGCTTTCTGGGTCAGGAGGGGACGTATCCTCCTGATGTTGTAAAGAGTGTATCTGCAGCAGCGGGTTGTTGCAGCGATGTTTGCAGTGAAGGACAGTTTGTTATCTAGGGCCACACCCAGATTCCTTGCAGTCTGAGTCGGTGAAACAACAGAGGGGCCGATGTTGATTGTTAGGTCAAGAGTGGGACAATCTTTTCCCGGAAGAAAAAGCAGTTCAGTCTTGTCAAGGTTGAGCTTGAGGTGGTGAGCAGACATCCACTGAGAGATGTCTGTTACCCCTAGATTCCACCGGGTCCGTCTGCGCCGCGTTACGGCTGCGCCGCGGTTTTGGTCCGGCCTCCTCCGGCGTCATACCCTACCAGGCGTGTTTCAGAAGCATTTCAGAAGCGGAGCGTCTTGCCTGCCGGCTCGCAGTTTTTGTTGATTTGGGCATATTTCCTGGACAGGCTACTTTGTACAGACAAAGTTAATAATAACTGTAATATTCCAGTTATAAACGACATGAATCAAAGATGTGTTGCTGTATTTTAGTGGTAAAAAAATGCATTCATCATCATAATTATTCTATATATATAATTTACACAGTGTCTGTAAACCAGAGGAGAACGCTGGCATTTCTCCTCCTACTTGAAAGACTACGGAGGGATAGGGTCTGCAAAATTAGTTTGTGTGTGTGTATGCTATATATGCTCTGAACGTTCCACTTCCTGCCTGCCTTACCTTACGGCTGCGCCGCGCCAAAAATAGGATTCATCCTAATTTTAGAGGAGCCCTGCGCCGAGACGCTTCTGGGACGCTTCTGGGACGCTTCTGGGACGCTTCTGAGCCGTAACGCGCCGCGTGTGGTGGAATAGCACCCATTGACTAGAGTGGCCGCGATCGCCGTGAGCACCGCGGTGCAGCCGTAACGCGCCCGTAACGCGCCCGTAATGCGCCCGTAACGCGCCCGTAACGCGCCGCCGACGGACCCGGTGGAATCTAGGGGTGAGACAAGCAGAGATGCGTGCGACAACCTGGGTTTCAGAACGGGGATAAGACCAAATGAATTGAGTGTCGTCAGCGTAGCAATGGTATGAAAAACCATGCGGGCTAATGACAGATCCGAGCGAGTTAGTACAGAGAGAAGAGGAGGGGACCGAGGACAGAGCCCTGAGGGACCCCTGTAGATAATTGACAAGGGTCGGACTCGGACCCTCTCCAAGTTACCCTGTAGGTGCGGTCTTTGAGGTAGGAGGTGAGGAGGGAAAGTGCAGAGCCTGAAACGGGGGGTTACGTATTGTAACCCTAGTTATATAAGCACAGGCGGAGCCCTCTACTGGACTCTATGGGTACTACTCTCTACCATGCTATGTGAGCATTCACCTACTGAGTTGCATACGCCTCCCGACTGCCATCCTACACCCTCTTCAGCATAGGAAAGACAGGGCCCTCAGGTAGAGGGCTCCGCCTGTGCTTATATAACTAGGGTTACAATACGTAACGTTATATATTACACAGGCTCCGCCCTCTACTGGACTCTATGGGTACAGTGGGTGGAGCCCCGATGTATAAACGCACAGGCAGGCGGGGAGTGTCCTCCAGCCCTGCATGGGGCTTACCGTGAAGTCAAGGCAAGTAGCAACGCTGTCTTCCATGACAGTGCTTTCAGGGAGGAGAGCTCCATAGGCTCAAATGGTTCTGTGACCAGAGCCTCGAGCACCAACGGCAGGTCCCATTGCGGGGAGGAGGCGTGCCCTACTGGGCGCTGCCTCCTGACCCCCTGCAAAAACTGCGACATAAGCGGCTGACTGAAGGCTGACCTGCCTCCAAATCCCTCATGGCAGGACGAAATGGCTGCTGCATACACCTTAATTGTGGAATGAGCCAGCCCCCTGTCCACCAGTATCTGTAAGTAGGACAGAATAGAGCCCAACGTACACGATAGAGGCTCTAGACTCCTTTCTTCACACCATCGCTGGAATCCCGCCCACTTCGGCCTGTAACAGGCTGTGGTGGATCCTGCTCTTGCTGCCTGGATAGTCTGAATAACTTTGTCAGACAGTCCCTCCCGTCTCAGCCTGTCCCTCTCAGGAGCCAAGCCTGGAGAGGTTGGCCCAGAGTGGGTAACGCCCCTATTGCACCTGCGGTGGAAAGGCAGGTCACCCTTGAAAAAGAGATATTTTGATCTCAAGGGGCTTTCACCTGGTTAAATAAAGGCTACGAACAAACAAGAGCAGCTATCTTGGCCATTGCTCTACCTTGGCCATGGCAGGCGGTGGAGCTGACTCCGTCCTGCCTGTTGATGTAAGCCACTGTGGTGCGGTTGTCGCTCCTTACCAGCACATGTTTGCCCTGTAGTAAGGGTTTGCAGTGCTGTAGGAGCAGTACTACTGCCCGTAGCTCTAGAAGGTTGATGTGCCGAGTTTCCGTCAGAGGCCAGCCACCACCTATAGCTATCTCTAGGCAGGTCCCC